CTGTGGTTAACCCCACAACATTCCCAGAACGTCTCAGAGATTCTGAGATGAGACAATTTCCTGCCATGAGAGGATTTTCTTTGAGAGCTCACATTTGAAATGAGGTTTTTTATCATTCCCCTCTTCCCAGAAGGTTCCAGGCAGAGCAATGCCAGCTCCATGTGCACTCACAACTCGGGGGGTTCGTCTCCAGCTGACAGCTTGATGCAAATTAAATTTGAAATCCTATTCAATAATCACATCTTTCTTCTGTTTGCTACTGTGCAGAGAACTCTTTGAAAGTTTTAAAGCTGGTTTTTTTTTGTTGTTTTTTAATAAAGAAAAGGTACTGGTATTTCAATCATTGAACAGGCAGAAAAGGTTTCCTCACATTTCCCAAACCTGAAATTACTTTCCTCTGGGATTACAGCAGGCTGTTTCCTACATAGCTAAAGGGAAAAACAGAACCTAAAATAGAACAATAATCYCCCAAAGGCCCCACATGGAGGAATGAAGAACATGAAGAGCCCAATGTGGTGGATCTGCCCAGAGAAACAGCAGCTCTGCTCCTCCAGGGCCACGCCAAGAAAGAACCACAACAATTTGGAAAGAAATTTGTAATGAGGTTTAAAGGAGGAAACAAAACCCAAACCCCATTTCTGGCTGTACTCAGTGAAGAMAAAAGTGCCAATCATTTTTCCAAACACTGTAATAGGAAGTGGCATTTTCTCTTTGTTTTTAATCAAATTGATTGTTTTCCCCCTTCGAATGGTGCTGAGCCTTTTAACATCGCTGCAGAGCCAAGACACTGCTAATAAATATTTAAAGTCTCAGAGCTTTAAGTGAAAGGGAGGATTTGTTGGATAATATTTCATTTCCCTTAAACTGTTTATTCACCATTAAAATTGAAAATTTTAATTTTATGGGGATTGCTCAGAGAGCTGATGTTCAGACATTTCCACAAGAAACCCCGGAGTCAGGAAGGAAGTCTATAAATAACCACCTTGGAAATCAACTTYTGTGAATTGGACATAACCCAGATGAGATTTTCGAGTGTGCTGTAAATTACCCACAGCCAGGGCACAGGTCAAAAGCATTTACTAGCACTGAGCTTCATTCCCCACATCCACCTGCCAGCAGTGCTTTAATCCTGCAGCAGAGGCCTGAGGGTTGGTTTTGCTCCCCTCCAGCCCTGGGGGGTTATTTTTATTTTTATTTATATTTATTTATATTTATTTATATTTATTTATATTTATTTATATTTATTTATTTTCATTTATATTTATTTATTTTCATTTATATTTATTTATATTTATTTGTATTTGTTTATTCCTGTGCTGATGGAGCAGTTTTGCCTCCTGGCCTTGCACTCGTGCAAGTGTCCATAACAAGAGGCATTGTCTGAATTTCCAAAACACAGAACATTCCTAGGACACTGCTGCTTCCTAGGAAAGCTTGCACCCAGCTGAGCTTCATTCCTTCTTCTCTCAGGATGCTCTGAAACAGGGAGAAGATAAAAACCACAGATGAAATAAGATTAAGGCAAAGAAAAGRAAATCRGCAATAGTCACAAATGTTGATYTAGGAAAAGGGCAGAACAAGAACWCTGAATGTTATCACTTTARGCTCAGTTTTAGGTGCCRGAGCTTTGGYTRTGGTGGGTTTGGATGTGCTGGCTGAGACTCCTTYCACCCCAGTTTGAACCATCCAGAAATAAAGTTTGTCACATAACGTGATCTGTCAATGGAGGCTGCAGAAAAGGAGAGGAAGGGAGGGACAGCTCCCTGTCCCAGTGCCAGGCACCAGAGCAGGCAAAAGGAGCCCTCCCCTGTCAGAGCAGGAGAGTCGAGCTCAGCTGGGCCCAGCCTGGCCAGGAGAAGGCTCTGTCTCACATGTGCCTGTCCTGACACAGGGACTGTGTCATCTCACACCAAGCCACATTTCCAGCTTCTATTCAATTCAGCTCTTGCTCTGCACACTGATGTTTGAGCTTGGTGATCTRCCTGACCCACTGMAASCTGCCAGAGCTGAGCTTTCTTTCAYTGCTTTATCTGAGTTTGAAGTGGAGATGGTGAATTCTAAATTCAGAGTGGCTCCAGCAGCACTCTGTGTCTACCTATGCTCTGCTTTCTGAAAAGATGATGACCAAACCCAATCCACATTTCCTTTTAATCTGGTCTATTTTAAACCAAACTGCAAAGATAGATACTAAAGCTGCTACTGTGAAACGTGCTGCTCCATGAATTARTAATTGTGTTTATCTTCTACATTGGGGATTTTTTGCCTGTGTTGCTGTTTTCTCAGTGCCACTCAACGTGAGGAGCTTCTGTTTGGATGAGACAATTCCAAAGCACTTCTACACTCATGTGGAGTCAGGGACTTCTTTACTTTCTGGCAGTTATTTACTTCCTGTAAATATTTCACAGCCACAGGACCTCCCAGATGAAAGCAGAGTTTGCTCCGTGCTCCTGTTCAGGAGTCTAATTAAAACCAGAATAAAATGGGAGGGACRGAGCTAAGTGCTAACTGCCATGGATGCATCCAGAGGGAATTCAGCCTTTTCTTGGCACCATTATTGAAGCATAAAASCAGAGGAAAAGTGCCCAGCAGAGAACTGAAAGCCCTGAGATGGATCAGGAGAGGAGAGGCTGTGAGAGAGGGGAGTTTGCTCCTGTGCAAACATTGCTGCCACCCCTGAGGAGCTGATCCTCACTGCTGCTCCCCATCTTCAGAGCCAGACAAATCCTTTAGCCCCAATCCCAATCCCTAGAGCCAGACCCCTCCTTTGGCCCCAATTCCAATCCCCATCCCCATCCCCAGACCCTCCTTTGGCCCCAATCCCAATCCAAATCCCCAGACCCTCCTTTGGCCCCAATCCCAATCCAAATCCCCAGACCCTCCTTTGGCCCCAATTCCAATCCCAATCCCCATCACCATCCCCTCCTTTGGCCCCAATCCCCAATTCCCATCCCCAGACCCCTCCTTTGGGGTTCTGCAGCCCCTAAAGCCCAGGGCATGTCCCCCCTGGGCTGGGTCACTCTGTCACTGCTGTCACTCTGTCACTCTGTCACTGCTGTCACTCCTGCCCATGCACACCCTGCTATCCCAGAGATTGAGGGGTTTTTATCAGCTCTGGTACTTTCTCCAGGGTGTTAATCATTATAACAGTGACCAGCACTGCAAGGGACTCCATGGCTGTGCTGCCTTCATATCTGCATCATTTCCCAAAATCAGGGCTGCAGAGAAAGCCGAGGACTTCAAAGAAATCAGGTAAAAAATTTGGCTGAGACAAGAAGATAAAAACCACAGATGAAATATGATTAAGGCAAAGAAAAGGAAAAGTAAAAAAAAAAAAATAAATAAATAAAAATCAAGCATTGCTTCCCCTGTTTTGGTTCTTTTTTTTTCTTTTTCAGAAATGGCTTATTTGTTCTTGGTTAAGGAMAGATTACTAACCACAGCTGTCTAGAGGGCAAGGGCAAATTGCTTCAGGTTTTGAGTGAGGGTTTTTCACTTAAAAGAGTGCATTTGGAGACAAGGGAGATTATGAACAATCCTTTAACAGATCCTCAGGCTGTTTAACATTATCGATCAGTGCMGATAGAGCCCATTAAAAAAAAAATCTATCAGATTAAAATGGAAATAGATTTCTTGTTCTGACTTYTCACAAACTTCATTTCAGTTTGCAGCAGAGAGCTCCTGTGGAAGAGGGGCAGAGGGGGTGACCCTGCCCTGCACTGTGCCAGCTCCTTCTGCCTTGGACAGAAATCCATGCATGGGATGGGGCTGTTCCAAGAAAAAAAAGGGATATTTCAACAAAAAAAGCCCCTACATCAAACCAGAAGAGACATCTCCATTGCTGCAGCAAGAATATTTAATAGGAGGGAACATCAGCTGGGTGTGGATCTTAAACACTCTTCTTTTGGGAACACAGAACCCCAGATTAAATTAAATTAAATTAAATTAATTAATTAAATACCCCCAGATCTGATCGATGCCACCCACCAAAGCAACAAAGCTTCCATCTCCTGGTGGGGATCACAATGCTGAGGATTTGTTTGCAAAATAAATAAAAAGAAGCACTTTGCTTTCAAATTAGTGCCCCAGAAGTTGACAGCAATTGTAGTAAACAATAGAAATTATTTGTATTAATGGCCATGTTTATTCTAATGATGGCATTCTCTGTGAAGATTAATTGACGAGAATGTTGCAAAAACTATTACAAGTGAAATATGCACCATAAACCTGAAATAATTTGACTGACCTATGTTCTAAAGTAAAATATTTACAGTRATGAGATTCCARTTATCTTTTGTTATGGCAGGCCATTCTCCACACCCCTCTTTATTGATAGGAGATGTATTGTTTCAGCATTTTAGCTCMATTTATTTTCTCACATTTGCATTTCCTCATGCACAGAAAATGAGAGACGATCATTGCCTTCTTCACTTTGCATTCAATTTACATCAACAGCACATTACCTCATCCTAACCCATTTATCAACCACAGAAATGTGATAACAAAAGCTGCTGTCAGTGATGAATAAAGATCATTTCAAAYGGAGCAGGAAGAAACAAGATGAATTATAGGTTTCAGGAACTTTTGTTTGCTCAAGAAAAGGAAAATAAAGGATTTTTTTCACACCTAGACCAGACGGATCACACGAGGCTGCAGCTCATTCAGCATCTCCTATTCACCTGCAGCTGATGGGTCTGTGCTGCCTACAAAGGTAATGACAAACACCCATGCAACCACAAAGGAATATTTTAAATTTTCTGAGGGCACAGAATTTCTGGTTCATAAGCTGGGGTAAAATCTTTAACACTGCCCAGGGGTGTTTGGGCTCAGAGCAGTGAGCAGAGCTCCATCCTGGAGATTGGCACAGAGCCCATCCCTATGGCCACTGCCCCAGCCCCGGGGCTCCCTGCACTCACAACAGCCCCACATCCATCTCTGCTGGGCACTGCCACATTGGGGACCTTCAATCAAAGGGTTACCCGCAGTCAGCAAACACGAGGCTGCACTTTGGAACTGTTGACTGAGCTGGGCCGCCCCAGCGAGCCGTCAGCCAGCGCTTTGGGCAGTGGGAAAAGATGGCAAATACCCCCCTCATCCTCTCCATTTGTCTGCTGGGAGCTTGTCTGGGTGATGGAAATACAGGTGAGTTCATTTAAAACCGAGCCAGTCCTTCCCTTTTGGGTACAGGATGGCACAGCGCTGGCAAAGGGACGGTTTGTCACTCGGAGTGGGACAGTCCTGTCAGAGACAGCAGCTCAGATCATTGCTGCATTTTATGGCTCCTYTTTAAAGCTCTGGGTCTTTTCTGGGGGAATGGAATAACAGCCTTATGCTGATTTTACACAGCACGTGTCACAGGGATTCATTTTAAGAATGGAAGTTTCCGTAGATTTTTTGCAACTTTAAGCTTTCCGAGCTCAATTCAGCCATTTTAGAAGGCACACAGAGAAGGGGAAAAGGGGACAGAAGTGTGAGGGTGGTTTTCAGCTGCTGGTGGAGTGACAGTCACACCTCTCCATGTGCCACCACTCCGTCCTGCACGACAAACAAGTGCTCACATTCATAAAGCAGTCACTGGGTTTGCCACTGCGAGGATTGTACAAACCAAATTGAACAATTGTGATTTTAACAAAGGTGTGGGTGCAGCCAGAGCTGCAGACAAACAGAGCAGGTGATGGATGTGGGCAATCCCACACAGTAATGCAGCCTGCTGCCTGATTTATCTGTACAGAGACAGCTCCAGAGGGGCTGGTGTGCATCAGTGTGAGCTCTTGTTTGCTGCAAGGATGCTCTTTCTCCTTTCATTAAAACATTGCTGGAAACAGGTTTAAAAAAGGCTCTTTCCAAAATGTTTGCTCGGTGATGAAAAGTGAGCAGAACCTCACCTGTGTGCCCTGCTGCACCTGCCCACAGACCCATCTCACACCCTGAGATTGTGGTGATGCTGTGTGAGTGCATTCTGAGTGCCAGGGCGGTTTTCAGCCCAGTGAATGCCACTCCTGTCACCCCATTCCTGTCACCCCTGACCCATCTCACACCCTGAGACAGTGCCAATCCTGTGTGAGTGCATTCTGAGTGTCAGGGCAGTTCACAGCCCAGTCAATGCCACTCCTGTCACCACATTCCTGTCACCCCACTCCTGTCACCCCATTCCTGTCACCCCCTGCCCCATCTCACACCCTGAGACAGTGCCAGTCCTGGGTGAGTGCATTCTGAGCGTCAGGGCGGTTTTCAGCCCAGTGAACACCAYTCCTGTCACCCCACAGGACCTGCAGCTTCACTCCAAACCCAGGTTTGCCTGTAAAACAGCAGGTGGGATCAGTGAGAAATGGAGAAAGCCTGGAGGGATCTGGAGGGAGCTAAAGCTGCGTTCATGACAGGGAATTCTCTCCATGGGATGGGTTCATTGGGGCAGTGCCAGTGGAAGGGRTGATGGAGGGGTGTGTGTGACACAGCTCCAGCAGGACAATCTCTGTGTCCAAACAAGACCTCACCAAACAGCAGCATGAAAAAGCGCATTATCTCCCCCTCTAAAAACAGCTTATTGCAGTCTGTGATGGGAGATTCTCACACCATCAACTTTGGGGTATTTTAAACATCAAACTCAGCCCTGCAGTCGCCCTCCTGCCATGGTTTCTGTTGGCAGCTGATGTTTGGCTCTGCAGATCTGACCCTTTGGTTGTGCCTGAGCACCAAAGGAGCCTCAGTGACACTCTGGGAATGTCCCCAGCCATGGGGGGCACACATGGGAAGGGCTCCCCACCTCTGATTGGGGTTCAGAGCCCTGGGCACTGTCCCACTGCACCCCAGGCTGGCACAGCTCCTGCCCAGCCCCTCTGCTCCCTTTGCAGTGTTCATCCCCAACAAAGAGGCCAGCTCCCTTCTGCAGAGGCACAGGAGAGCCAACTCCAACCGGCTGGAGGAGGTCATTCCTGGCAACCTGGAGAGGGAGTGCATCGAGGAGAGGTGCAGCTATGAGGAGGCTCGGGAGGTGTTTGAAAATGAAGAGAAAACGGTGAGTCTGGCAGTGCCTGGGTCCTGCAGCAGCCTGGTTCCTCTGGGGGATCTGCAGGTGGGCACAGAGGGGAGAGAGGAGGGGACAGAGAGGAGAGAACTCACAGGGCAAGGGCAGCATCCAGCAGGGCTGATTCTCACTGGAGAGCCAGAGGGGCCAGAGGAGGGGACAGAGAGGAGAAAAATGACAGTGCAAGGGCAGCATTCTCACTGCAGAGCATCAGCTGGGCTGGGAGCTRCTTTAGAAGCTCTGTCAGTGGGGTTTTGGAGTTCTGGTTTCCCTGCAAGTCTTCTCCTTCAGCTCTGGAGCCATCCCGGTGCTACTTCAGTCACACAGCACCCAGAAATCAGAAAACAAAGGAAAACTTTTTCTTTTTCCCTTTGCAGATGCAGTTTTGGCAAACATACGTTGGTAAGAGCTGCTTTCTTCATGTTCTAATGCCTAATATTCATATCTCAGTGCATAAAGAGCTGATGTGACTGTAACAAATGTATTTCAGCATCTAAAAACCCTGTTATGGTCAGAGCCTTGCACTCTGTGCCCGGCCTGGGCTGTCCCATTGGTTTAGAATGGCAAACCAACCAAAGAAAGATGTCTTACCATTTTATTTGTTCAAGCAGGTTTTTTTTTTTTTTTAAACAAATCTAAAATCTCCCAGAACAAAGCCAGCTCAGGCAGATGCTGCACATCACTGAGCCCAGGTCACGCTCAGGGCTTTGGTTTCAGCTGTGTTATAGAGTAAAACACCACAGCAATAATTAACACCCCTTCAGCAAACAGCAAATGTTCTCCAGCAGAGATCCCCAGACAAGGCACAGCCTCCCGAAAGCACAGTGTGAATCCCTAAAAATGCCATATTAAAGTGGAGACTCAACACAATCATCACAAACAGCTGCTGCCAATTCACACCATTGCTCCCAAACCCTCACTTCACTGTTTTCTTTCCACATCTACTTTTTCCTTTCCAGCCTCCATCCCCAAAGACTCCATGGCCCCTTAAAAAGATTTCAATGCCCACTACAACATCTGAAACTAATTTTAAGGACATCTCAATAAATGAACTGTTTCGTAGACTGGCAAAGTGCCCAGAACATCTCACTAAAAAACCTTAAATAATTCAGATCATTCAGTCCAGACTATAAAATGAAAACATTACATTCGCATTGTAGGACTGTCCTCTCAAAAAACAACTGATGAAACTCAGCACTGCATTTGTTTCCCTGCCACTGTAAGGGATTAGCTCATCAGAAATAAGGAATGCCACATGTTCCTGTCCCCCAATGCCTGGTTTGCTGTTCAGGGTGTGAGCTGCAATAAGGAATGCCCCATTTTCCTGTCCCCCAGTGCCTGGTTTGCTGTTCAGGGTGAGCTGCTGTTGCTCATCAGAATAAGGAATGTCCCATATTCCTGTCCCCCAATGCCTGGTTTGCTGTTCAGGAGTGAGCTGCTGTTCCCAGCATGTGCAGCCCACAGAGCTCACCCCTTGCACAACACCAGCCCCATTCCCTCACCAGCTGCAATCCTCACCTCAGTGCAAACCTCTCCACCACGATTCAGACAAGCCCAAACCATTTTGTTCCTGTTTGCATTTTTGCATTCCAGCTCGCTGAAAACCCCGTTATGTGGCACAGTCACCGTCAGGACAGGAACACAGCCAGACCTTCCCCTTTCCCCACTCCAGGAGCATTTCAAAGGCCGTGCTCTGCTATTAACATCACTGATTTGCTCCTCCAGAGTGCTAGCTCACCAATTTTGCAATGGTCAGTGTTCTCATTAAAGCTTCAGGTGCTCAGCTGGAGGCAGCTGTGAAAATGGACACAGGAAAACTGATAAAGACTGAGAAAGAATGAAAGTTCTCCATCCTCATACACAGAGAGGTCTCCACAGCCAAACAGACAGACCCCAATTTCACAGAGCAGCGTTAGGGTTGAAATAGTCCAGATTGGGATACTTAAACCACGCTTGAAGAAGCAAAGCTTCTACATTTGTCTAACTCTAAGACATGGGGTCCTGTTGGGGTGTTGCATGGGGGGACAAAAGAGGACTATGCTGAGAGGAGCAGAATTAACCCAGAAGGACAGGGACAGAGCTGGGGCTGAGCACAGCCCTGCTGTCAGTGTCACCCCTGGGCTGGCATTATCTGTGACACCCCTGGGTGCCAGGCTGTCCCCATTTCCCATGACAAAGAAGGAAGCTGTGCTGTGCTGTGCAGCGAGGCCCCAGCGTTCAGRGGACACTCGTGTTTGTTAACTCTGCTCTCTTCTCTCCAAGATGGGGATCAGTGCAACCCCAACCCCTGCCAAAACGGGGCCGTTTGCAAGGACGAGATAAACTCCTACGTGTGCTGGTGCCCAGCTGGGTACGAAGGCAAGAACTGCCAGATCGGTACGTGCCAGGAGCTCCTCCAGAGGCTCTTCTGCTCTGYTTGGAATCCCGTGGGATTCACCCCACTGGGGGCTGTTCCAGACCCATTTTGCTCTGCTGTAGGGCACTCCAGGACAGTGTGAATTGAGCCTGTTGGCAGTGGCGATTGCAGGGGACACATTGGGGTCCAGCAGTGGATGGGGATGGCTCTGATCCTTCCCAGCCCCCAGGGAACCCCAGCTCTGCTGAGCTCCTGCTCTTAGGAAGGGCTCAGTGGAGACTCAGCTCAAGGCCTTCGTTCAGCTGTGGCTGCCAAGGCAAATGTTGACACAGAGCCCTTCCTTTGTGTCCCCAGCACGAGCCTTTCCAGGACTGCTCAATTGGGGACGAGCTGTCACTGCTGAAAGCAGCATTTCCCCCAGGAACCCCCAGGAACCCCCTTCTCCCACTGCCCTTTCCCTTTCTCACACTGGGACTGGGCAGGGCAGGGTTATCCCAACTTCCTCTCAATGGCACTCTGCTAAATTCATAATTGTAATTATCGGCAGCAACCTTGATTCTGAAGGCAAATAAAARGCAAATATTTTCCTGATGGGTTAAGGAGTTTATGAAAACCAAACAGCTGATAATTTAAGAAGTGAGAGGGATATTCAGCTCTTATATTTATAATATAATCAGGGGCTGTGCAACTCACATAATGTGCTAGACTCACTGCACTAATAAAAGATTCTCTTTCTAGTTGTATTTCTGCTCTGGCAAGAGAGGAGTGCACGTTAAAAAGAGCATTTCAAAGTTGCATCAAATTTAAATCGTCTCATTGCAGATGTCTTGGGGAAGTGAGACAGGAGCAAAAATAGAGCTAGAAGTGAGGCGTGAAGAAGAGCTCAGTAAAAATAGTAAATGATGGCATTAAAATGGCTACAGGAAGGGAGGTGTCCTTGAGGAAGTAGGAGTGGAGTTAATCTGCCRTGAAGTTATTTGAAAACTCCCTGAGAATCACAAGGGCCTCTGCAGATCGGTGTTTTCCTCCTCCAAGGTGTTCCCAGCACAGAGGAGTGAGAGGTGGGCTGGGAAGAGACTGCTGCAAGTCATGGGGATCTCACTCTGCCTCGGGCTGGCACTTGTTCCACCACACGTTTCCTGCTGAGATGGATCCTCCAAGTCAGTCTGTGACAATTCATGGGTGACAATTCATTAGGAGGAACAGAAGGCGTGTCTCAAAATTTTCATTCAGACCCCCCAATATTCCCAATCCAAAGCCCTGCTGGGTTCAGGGATTGCTCCAACCCCATGCACAGTGCTCTCAGCCCTGCCAGCAGCACRGTGGGGAAATCACGTGCCTTGTGACCAAATATTTGCAGGAGTCCTTTGGGGTCAGGCTGTCACATCACAGTGTTGGAGCAGGAGGCTGTGCCAGGGCTCTGGGGGGCTCTRAAAGCCGCCTTTTCAAAAAATTGTCTTCATTATGAGCAGGGATGGGATTGTCCTTCTTCCCAATCTCCTTCCAAACTTGTTTTCCATAGGCTTGATCAGCCACAGGGGGTTACTGAGCCCAAAAGCCCAAGTGTCAAATCTCTGACAAGTTGTGCTCCTAAAGAGCTCTCACAGTTTCATTTTCATGTCTTTCAGACTTCACTTGTGCTATTAAAAAYGGAGGCTGCAAGCACTTTTGCAGTCTGGATTCATCACAGAAGGTTGTGTGCTCCTGTGCTGCTGGCTACAAACTTCATGAAGATGGGAAGTCCTGCGAACCTACAGGTTAACTTTTAAACTGTTTTTAAAGATTTAGGTTAAAGTTTTCAAGACTTTGTCCTGAGTTTAGGTACATTAATTTCATAGACATGAAATATCCAGTTGGAAATTTCCCAGTGAAAACCTTGTTGCTTGTTTTCCTGCTTAGCAAATGTAGAGTCTGAGCCTGCACTTTCCCAAAGGCAGGAGTGGGGTCTGGCTCAAAGGATTCCATTTAACCATCCCTTTTTTAGCCCAGCTGGGTGGAGARGGAGGGTGATTGTCCAGGAATTTGTTTGTAAAGCTGCTTGCACRGGCTCCTCTCCCAGCTGCAGCCAGATGTGCTGGCTTTCAGCACTCAGAGCAGGGAGCATCTTAGGCTGGGAATCTGTTCACAGAGATCAGCAAGAGCTCAGGCCAGTGTTGCACAACATGCTGTATCACTTTCACTGGACCAGAAAGGTTTACTGTTAGCAGGAAGATCATCTTTCAGCTTGGGTGAGTGCCCTTCCTGCAGAAGCTGAGCTTCTGTTGGCTCTGAAGCCTTCATTTCATAGGCTGATCTTGTGGGTAGCACTTTCCATCACTCAACACCTATTGCAGTCCTGTTCATGGAGTGAACTGTTTAAAAATAAAAGATGAAATCTCAGTAGGCCACACTCACATCTGATTTTACACTAATGTTTGTTTGCTCAGTGCTTCTGAAAGCTTTTCAGATGAAAGACAATGCCTGGTGCTATTTACTATTTTGACTGCCACTACCAGCAGGAATTCGGCACACACTGCGTGGGAGAGAAACGGGAAGAGCTTGTCTGAAACGAGCCTGCAGATSAGATCTTCATTAACAGAGAAAATTTACAACTCCAGGAAGAGTTTATTAATGTTTTCCTCACCTTGGTGCCAAGCAGGATTATGTGTACAATTGGCAGCCCTCATTTCCTGCCCTGTCCCAGCTGGCTGTGCATTGTTCTGCAGTCACTGCTGTAGGGATGGGGGCCAAGAGATCCCCAGGKATGAGCAGAGCAGCCCAGAGCAGGCTCAGCTGCCCCAGGTGTCAGTGTGCATGCTCAACAATGGTTGTTTCACTTGAGAGCTGCTCAGATCTCATTTCTAAAGCTCAGCAATAATCTGTGCTATTGCTGCTTTCACATCTCACCCGTTCTGGGGCTCCAGGGGATGTTAGCACAAGGCACAGTGCTCATCCCACAGCCCCGTGCTGGTGATGCCTTATCAATCAGGCTGATCTGAAAGAGAGGCCAGACAAACTTAAGAGAATGAGAATACACAACTTTAATCCAGGCCTAACAGGCCTGTTGGTACATTAGGGTGGACAAAGCCTCCTCCTGAGGCTACACCCGAAAATGGACACCAGGTCATGAGATCTTCACCTTTTATAAGTTCTGCCTTATTAACATATTGGGTCTTAATTCTCCAATGATCTTTACAGGTGATGATGTCACCCACCCCAAACTTGCTCCCCCACAACTTGCTGTTGTTTCCATATTTTGGGGCTCTGAGGTGTCCTTGGATTCAGGCTCAGAGAGGGATTGTTTTGTCTAAAGATGGGAGAACAGTAGTTTTAGTGCTGTACTAGGGAAGTACAAGAATACAGATGCATGAAAATAGAGAAACTAAAAATCCTAAGGCATCACTGGTCCCAAACAGAGCTGAGGTGAGGCAGAATTTCCTCCTCAGCTGCTCAGTGAGTGTCAGTGTGACACACAGCCGTCATAACCGTGACTGTTTCTGCCCCAGTGCCGTTTCCCTGCGGGAGGATCACAGCTCCCGAAGCCAAGAGGAAACTCACGCGCTCCATGAACACCTTCGAGCACTGGAACACCACGGGCCACGAGCCGGACGATGGCCACGAGCCGGACAATGGCCACGAGCTGGACAATGGCCAGAAACCAGACAATGGCCAGGACCCAGACAATGGCCACGAGCTGGACAATGCCCAGGAACCAGACAATGCCCAGGAACCAGACAATGGCTATGACAAGGAGCTGACCAACAGCACAGAGAGCAGCACGGCCGCCCCCAGGATCACCCCCGTGCTCCGGACAGGGACACGTGTGGTGGGCGGCTCCGACAGCCTCAAAGGAGAGGTGCCCTGGCAGGTACTGCCTGTCCCTGCACATCTGAGCACAGGCTCATCTTACCTTCAAATACCCAAAACCTGTCTTTGGGCTTAGACTGGCAATAGGTCCCAACAGGAGCACAACTTCTTTCCATACACAGTAACAAAACTTGCCAGGATTGGCAAAAAAAGCCAGAAATCAGAGTCACAGCAGCTTGACCTGGTGGGACACAAAGGGCTGAGCTGCAGCAGCAGATTGCCCAGTAGTCCATGGATGTACCAAAAACAAGCTGAAAGCTGAGGAAAGGGAGTTTTGCAAGGCACAGTTTCACAAGGAACAATGCAATTCATTTTTTGGCTCTATCAGTTTTAACAGATCATAGAATCACCCAACTGTTTGGGTTGGAAGGRACCTTAAAGATCACCCAGTTCCACCCCCTRCCSTGASCAGGGCCACCTTGCACTAGTCCAGGCTCACACAAAGCCCTGGCTGTGATTTCCTCCTGCTCCCACAGGTTCTGCTGGTGAACAGCGAGGGCTTGGGCTTCTGTGGTGCATCCATCATCAACGAGAGGTGGCTGGTGACAGCAGCACACTGCCTGAAGAGGGGACACACTGACAACATCACTGCTGTGGCAGGTGAGCACCNCAGACAAACTTAAGAGAATGAGAATACACAACTTTAATCCAGGCCTAACAGGCCTGTTGGTACATTAGGGTGGACAAAGCCTCCTCCTGAGGCTACACCCGAAAATGGACACCAGGTCATGAGATCTTCACCTTTTATAAGTTCTGCCTTATTAACATATTGGGTCTTAATTCTCCAATGATCTTTACAGGTGATGATTTCAACCACCCCAAACTTGTTCCCCCCCAACTCATTGTTGTTTCCATATTTTGGGGCTCTGAGGTGTCCTTGGATTCAGGCTCAGAGAGGGATTGTTTTGTCTAAAGATGGGAGAATGGGAGTTTTAGTGCTGTACTAGGGAAGTACAAGAATACAGATGCATGAAAATAGAGAAACTAAAAATCCTAAGGCATCACTGGTCCCAAACAGAGCTGAGGTGAGGCAGGATTTCCTCCTCAGCTGCTCAGTGACTGTCAGTGTGACACACAGCCGTCATAACCGTGACTGTTTCTGCCCCAGTGCCGTTTCCCTGCGGGAGGATCACGGCTCCCGAAGCCAAGAGAAAACTCACGCGCTCCATGAACACCTTCGAGCACTGGAACACCACGGGCCACGAGCCGGACGATGGCCAGGAGCCGGACAATGGCCAGGAACCAGACAATGGCCAGGAACCAGACAATGGCCATGACAAGGAGCTGACCAACAGCACAGAGAGCAGCACGGCCGCCCCCAGGATCACCCCCGTGCTCCGGACAGGGACACGTGTGGTGGGCGGCTCCGACAGCCTCAAAGGAGAGGTGCCCTGGCAGGTACTGCCTGTCCCTGCACATCTGAGCACAGGCTCATCTCACCTTTCAACACCCAAAACCTGTCTTTGGGGTTAGACTGGCAATAGGTCCCAACAGGAGCACAACTTCTTTCCATACACAGTAACAAAACTTGCCAGGATTGGCAAAAAAAGCCAGAAATCAGAGTCACAGCAGCTTGACCTGGTGGGACACAAAGGGCTGAGCTGCAGCAGCAGATTGCCCAGTAGTCCATGGATGTACCAAAAACAAGCTGAAAGCTGAGGAAAGGGAGTTTTGCAAGGCACAGTTTCACAAGGAACAATGCAATTCATTTTTTGGCTCTATCAGTTTTAACAGATCATAGAATCACCCAACTGTTTGGGTTGGAAGGRACCTTAAAGATCACCCAGTTCCACCCCCTRCCSTGASCAGGGCCACCTTGCACTAGTCCAGGCTCACACAAAGCCCTGGCTGTGATTTCCTCCTGCTCCCACAGGTTCTGCTGGTGAACAGCGAGGGCTTGGGCTTCTGCGGGGCATCCATCATCAACGAGAGGTGGCTGGTGACAGCAGCACACTGCCTGAAGAGGGGACACACTGACAACATCACTGCTGTGGCAGGTGAGCACCTGGGAGGGACAGGGGGACGTGGGACAGGGGGACATGGGACAGGACAGGGGGATGTGGGACAGGACAAGGGGACATGGGACATGGTGTGCACCACTCAGGACAAGGCACAGCACAGGGCAGTGACCTCATGGGTTGGTGTGATGGATTTTATCTCTGCTGGCCACTGAGGCCTCACGGGCGAGTTCTGCTTCTCTTGGAGCTCACAGTGTGTTTTCACACCACTCTCAGAGAATGGATTTATGTTGCTGGTTCAAGAGGGGCACCAGCAGCCTGAATATCTCCTTGCAAGCAGAATATGACTGCTTTTGCTCCTAACTTTCCACAAGTAAACAGAATTCATGTACTGAGGCAGAGAAACTGGGCCGGCACATGAAAAGCTTGGGGAATCGGACAAGGGGGGCTGTGTGGCAGGGCTGAACAGCACATGATGCTGCTGCTGCAAAAATCAAATCTGTATCTGCTTCAGCATGGTGTTTCAGTGTGACTGGTGGTACCCAGCTGTGCCAGCCCCCCTGCTCAGCATCCTGCTGATAACTCAGCTGATAACTCAGCATGATGAGCCCCTGGTGAAACCTTCACAGCTGTGGCACCATCGGCTTCCCCAGAACATTTGTGTGTCCCCAGCACGAATCTCTCCATGGGTTCCAGCASCAGGTGCAGGGGCACAGTGACGTGGTTGGTAATTGCTTCCAGCAGCGCTGGGAGGAGGCATGGCAGAGTCATGCTTTTTGTTTCAGCACTATGTCATGTACAAGTGACAAAAATGACATTTTTCCTAAGCCCTGACACACTGAGTTTATACCCACACGAATGAGCTCATCAAAAGAGCTCCAGCTGCATCTGTGAATGGGGCTGAGCTCCTGAGAGGGCCTGGCTGCATCCTTGGGGCTGGGCACTGTGGGGCTGGGCACCACTGCTGGCAGCATGGGGCTCACAGCTTGCACACAGAATTTTTTGCTGTCTACTTCCAGGCAGTTTTGTTGGAAAGCTCTGCCCAAAGCCCATTCTTCTATCCCATCCCC